AAGTCGGAGGACAGATCTGGCGCGACTAAGATAAAGACTGGCTGGTCGCAAGTCGGGAACCGATCTAGCGCGACTAGGATGAAGACTGGGCCTGTGGGTCGAGGGTCTGCACTCGGGCTCAGGCTGGACTAGCAAGTCGCAAGTCGGAGGATCGATCTGGCGTGACTCGAATAAAGACTGGCTAGTCGCAAGTTGGGAACCGATTTGGCATGACCAGGATGAAGACTGGGCTTGTGGGGCGAGGGTCTACACTTGGGCTCAGGCTAGACTGGCGAGTCGTAAGTCGGAGGACAGATTTGGCACGACTCGGATAAAAACTAGCTGGTCGCAAGTCGGGAACCGATCTGGCGCGACTAGGATGAAGACTGGGCCTGTGGGCCGAGGCTCTGTACTCGAGCTCAGGCTGGACTGGTGAGTCGTAAGTCAAAAGACCGATTTGGCATGACTCGGATAAAGATTGGCTAGTCACAAGTCAGGAACCGATCTGGCGCGACCAGGATAAAGACTGGGCCAATTGGACGAGGGTCTGCACTCGGGCTCAGGCTGGACTGGCGGGTCGCAAGTCGAAGGACCGATCTGGCGCAACTCAGATAAAGACTGGCTGGTCACAAGTCGGGAACCGATCTGGCACGATTAGGATGAAGACTGGGCCTGTGGGCCGAAGGTCTGCACTCGGGCTTAGGCTAGACTAGCGAGTTGCAAGTTGGAGGACCGATCTGGCGTGACTTGGATAAAGATTGGCTAGTCGCAAGTCAGGAACCGATCTAGTGCGACTACAATGAAAACTAGGCTTGTGGGCCGAGGGTCTGCACTTGGGCTCGGGCTAGACTGGTGAGTCGCAAGTCGGAGGACCGATCTGGCGTGACTCGGATAAAGACTAGCTAGTCGTAAGTCAAGAACCGATCTGGCGCGACTAGGATGAAGACTGGGCCGAGGGCCTACACTTGGGCTTAGGCTGGATTGGCGAGTCGCAAGTTGGAGGACTGATCTGGCACGACTTGGATAAGGACTGGCAAGTCGCAAGTTGGGAACCGATCTAGAGCGACTACGATGAAGACTAGGGGCGTCATTGGGCAACGTGCTGGGGTTTACCCAGGTGCCACCGTACCACATGGCATACTTGGTGGAGCGAGGCAGGGCCTGCCAGGAAACTTCTTGTTACGAATGGCTCCTGGCGGGAGATTTCGGGTGATGAGGTGCCTTTGGCGGGAGCTCCGAGACCGACGAATATGGAGAATCCGAGGAGTTATGATAGGTTTTAAATGCTGCGACCATCTCTCTCCTCGGGAAGCCCAATCATCGTCTGGCAATGGATTAGCCTGCTCTTTATAAGCTTCTTACATAGCAGTTGCCATCACTTTTGCTTAGTCCTTCATCTTGCGCCCCGACTACTTCTATCGGAGAAACAACGGACGTGAATCGACTGAGGGGCATCTTGTCCTCTTCTCGAGCAGTTAGGGAGATGGCCGAGGAGTGGCTGGTTGAGGCGGGACTGAGCCCAACCGCTGGGGGTATGGTTATTAGCTTGTTATGGATCATCCACTCATCTTGAGCTAGGTAACCGACCAGGCTTTTGCTTACAGAAATGGTGGACCTCCAATCGGTGAAGAAGACGCCTCACGCCAAGGCTGCAGTGCCATCGACTCGGGGTGACGAGGGTTCTAGAGCTGGGGATGCCTCGCAGAAGGGCACACCAAAAAGGATGCCGGGGTCTCCGGAGGCAGGTTGCCCTCAAAAGAAGGAAAAAACTATGGTGCGGAAGACGTATGCGGGCTCGGCTGCTCACGAGAGTGCAACCCCAGAGTCATCTAGGGTTGCTCCCTAAGGCAAGGGCTCGGGGAGCATGAGAGGAAAGGGGGTGACCGGATCGTCCGACAATGACCCCTCAAAGAGGGCACCGGTGCGCCCGAAGTCGATGCGGGACCTGTGTCGTGTCCATTCTCAGGCCAAAGGCAAGCGGTACCAGGCCTTGAGTATGGCCGATCTTCCTGCAGGGGAGTCGGGGACTCCCTACGCTACTCGGTGGGCAACTCTTACAATCGACAGTCGAATCTGGGTTGATTATTCGGTTGCCTAGGAGTTCATCCAGGGGGCGCTTCACCCAGCCATGGCCAAGGAGCTTTATTGCTCCTCCTCAGAGGCGCTGGCGGATCGGGCGGCCAAGTCATTTGTCTGGGTAGGTGGTGGTGCTCTTTTCTCGTTCGATTCTTCCTTCTTTGCGTGGGTCTTAATGTCGATCATTGTGCAGGGTCAGCACTACACCATGGCGTTGATCGACCGGGTCCTTAACCCCGGGCTGGTGATCGAACGTCAGTCGGATGTCTATGTCACTCTTCGTCTAGAGAACCTGGAGTTGAGAAGCGGATCTGGCCCAGAGGCTGTGGCTGTAGCCGAACAATGCGCCTCGGCTTTGGACGAAGAGGTGAATCTCTTGAAGGCCGAGCTGGAGGAAAGCCGGTCCTGCATCCGGACGCTGGATGATGAGTTGCTGACCCTCTCCCACGACGTCGAGTACGCCAAGTCTTGGGCTTGGGCCGTCGAAGAGGTCCTGAAGGGGGAGCGACTGGTGCTGCCCGAGAAGATCAAGGGGGCGATTGCTGAGTACAAGTCATCTGCTAGGTTCAAGCATGGCCTGGTGAGGCCGGGGCGGGTGACATATGAGTTCGGTACCAGGTTTCTTATGCTCGTTTTCGAGCGAGGTACTTGGACCTAGAACTGGAATCAGACCTGTTTGCTGACTAGCCAGAGGATCAGAACGTCGACATACCGGCGAGCGTCCCCTTTGATGATGGGTCCGAGACTCCTCCGAACTAAAAGCTGTATTTTTTTTTTATTTTGCTTTGGTCAAGTTGTATTTTGAAACTATATCGCCTGACCACAATGTGTATTTCTTTTCATTAATTAAAAGCTGTTGCTTTGGAATCCTGACTTTTTGTCTTTCCCGATTGTTGATGTGCATGCTTCTTTTGACCAATAAAACATGTCTTTACGGCACCTTGGTCTTTGGCCTTCACGGATAGAACTTCTTTAAATTCGTCGCATTCCACGTCCTTAGCAGAGGGTTTCCTTCCATAGTCTCGAGTCGGTAGGTCCCTTCTTGGACCATGTCATAGACCCGATAGGGGCCTTCCCAGTTCGGCATGAGTTTTCCCCTCGCTTAGGTCAGGTCCCTCACCTCTGCCTTCCGAAGGACGAGGTCCCTGACCTTGATCGGTCATGGATGAACTTTGCGATTGTACATCCGATTCGTAGCCCTTTTGTATGCCAAGGAACGTAGGTGTGCCTTCGCTCTTCTTTCTTTAAGGAGATCTAGGTTTGCTCGTAGGCCCTCCTCGGAGTCTTCTCATTTGTAGTTGGTGGTGCGCAAGGTCGGGAACACCATCTCAGGTGGGAGGACTGCTTCGATCCTGAACGCCAAGCTAAACGAAGACTCTCCCGAGGTGGTTTTGGGAGTCATTCACATTGCCCATAGAACACTAGGAAGCTCGTCCACCCAGGCTCTG